GGCGTGACCTTCAGACTGAGAGTCAACAATGAGGCGGCGCACACTGAAAACAGCTGCAGAGCCTCGAGCTGCAGCCACACACAAACTGCTGTGCAGTGATGCAGAGCGGCATCATCGTCTCTGAGCACGCTCAATAACCACTCACCTGTACGCCCCCCAGCCCCACCCCCCCAACCCGCTCACCCCCCCTAAATACTTTTGAAACTATACCAGTAAATAACAGATGACCCAAATACCAACAAACCCTCTCCTCAGCAGCCAATCACAGCAAACCTTTAGAGTACCGCCTCAAAACCAGCCCCACATCAAACCACAAAGCCCCTCCCAACGCTCCCCACCAATCACACCCACCCCTGCAATACAACCAAACGTTGAGCTTTGATTGGAGGGTTTACCTGTCGTTGAGCGTGAACACTCAGACGTGTTTACATGAAGCTAAGACTCGGTGAGGACCAAACTCCGCTGGCCTGAGATCAGCTGACGAGCTTTGGGAAAATCTCACTTCCTGGGTTGTTTTGGCCGCCGGAGAGCTCGTCCGCTCACGTCCTCAGGAAACACCAGACCCTGTGCCCACGCCATAACGCTGCCTCCGCCGTGTTAGACGGATGCTCTGCTTTCCGCTCTTTTCTCTCCATCGTTAAACTTCCACCCAGCTCCACCTGTCAAACGTGTTTTCACACGTGTGCACTTTCGTTGGCTGTGATAACGTTCGACCTTCCTGGGCGCTCCCGGAGTTTGCAGCTTGCTGTTTCCATCCGTGACGCCGTGTCCTGGCTGTCGACCTTCGGCGCTCCTGACTCGGCTCGATGTGGTGAATCATTCTGACGTCGTCTTTCATGACTTTATGTGTTTGTTCATTTTAACAGTGAGCAGCTGGTTTGGACGCTCCCAGTTTCTGCTCTCTGATTGGTTTATTCTGGTGGTTCAGCCTAATGACGGCCTGCCTCTTGTCTCCTGGTCGAGCGAGGGATCAGACGAAGCCGCTCACCCAACTGTCCGCTTACTTCTGGCCGTGTTTAAGAACTGGTCACAGTGGAGATATGTGGTTTTCACACGACCGCCACGAATGATGTCACAGGCAGAAAAACTCGGACGCGTTTCAAATAAATATTAGTTTATTACTGAAAGTGTCGTCGGCAGAGACGACGGGCAGGTTAAGCTCAGTTACACAAACACGGGTTCAAAAGTGTTCACGTGATGACACAGCGCCGCTAAAATCTGAAACAAATCACACACCAAGCTCTACAGCAACACCCCACTTCCTGTCTGACACAGGAAGTGGATTAGAGTAAAATGTCTGCAGTGGAATCGCTGAAACTCGACTCGAGTCGAGCGGCTACATGTGTCAAAAAACAACCAAACACTAACCGGGCTGGAGGTCAAAGGTCAACGGTGCACAGACGGAGGGAAACTTCTTCTTCTACAGTTTCAGTTTTTATGATACAGGAAGTAAAATGTGAACACAAAAATAAAACTTCTTACAGGTGAGACCTTCATCATCATCATCATCATCATCATCATCATCTGTACAGTGTGTTTACATCAAAAACAAAGTAAACAGCAAAAATAAATACAGACTGTGACATCACAGCACGTCACGTGTCATGTGACACAGTTTAGGGTGAGCTGCACCAACACTCAAAGTTTCTAAATTAATACTACCGATAAATACGTTTAAAAAGAAGAAACTGTCTTTTACTTTGAAGTGATTTGGCAATTTCAAAATAAAAGACAGTTTCTTAAAAACAGCTGAGGAAAACTTTCAGATATTTTGTTCTTGACTTTCTTTTTTTTTTTTAACATGAACGTCTTCCTTTGTTTCCCGTGTTACCTGTTTCCTGTTCAGAGGGAGTTCTTCCTCCCCACAGTCAGTTCAACAAATCAACATGAAGTGCCTCCATATTTCTGTGATGCCTGGATATTTAAACGGCGTCACATTGAAACCACTTTTGTTTTGCTCCTGGAGTTTACTCTTTAATCGTTTGTCCAAAGAACTTCTAAACCTCCGAGTCGTGTTCCTCAGTTTAAACAAAATAAGAGCGTGAATGAGTCTGCGGATCAGCGTTAGACTCCCATCACCAGGCTGAATCTGCAGATGTGCTCCAGCTGTGAAGCGATTGGTGCAGCTCGCCTGGTGTGAAGCCGAGCGTCACCGAGAACGACGGCGTGAAGCCCAACTCGTCACAAACCTGATCAGACCTGAACAGGTCACGCCGGCACGAATACACGTCGGTGTGAGGAGAATCGGAAACGTGCAGCTCAACACTGAGAGGAACCTGACGCTCACATGACGACATCGACACTTTATCACATCATTTTATTCAGCTTTCATTTCTGGAACAAAGCAGTACTCTTATTGTGAAGTGCACAGGAAGTAAACTGTGCCAAAGTAAAAGTCATCATTAATAACGTGCCTTATGAGGGCGTTTCTGAATGAAATGATTGGACTTTATCCCGTAAAAAGAACAAACACGTTTTTCACTGATGTGGATTTTCTAAATGTTTCTAAATCATATTCAAAACTGTAAAAACATTCATATAAAAACAACATCTGCCCGTACAGATGTGTTTGAGACACCGACATACAGACGTGTCTGATAAATATACATAAATACAAAGGTATTAATGTGTGTTAGTGCGTCACACAGCACAGCCACTGATCTGTCACTGTAAACTGAGCTTGTAAATAAATTAAAACTATTTCGCTGTTAGTTTTTCATGGACTTTCTGGTTGACGTCTTGGTGCTGACAGACGGGCTGAGCTCGCTCGGCCTGCAGGTCGATTCTCAGAGCGCGTGTTCTCGGTGACGCGCTCGGCCGGCTGCTGTTCTTAACACCAAAAACGTGGAAGCCTCCTAACTCCAGCTGGCTCTGTGTGGAGTTAGCAGCTTTCCACGGGACATCAGGTTGGAGCTAAAGGGCTGTGGAGGTAGGCGGAGACTGACATCATCAGTGGAGGAGGGGCAGTGACTACATCTCCCAGCATGCACTGGGACTGTCAGGGGCGGTGGGAGGAGCTTTTGGGGCAGAAAGCATCCCTTTTACGTGCACGAGGACATCTCTGTATTACGGGGACATTTTTCCTTGATGAAGACAGTCAGGCACTGTGGGGACACTCTGCATTACGGAGACGTGATGACATCAATGCCAATAATAGACTGAAATGTCCCCATGTCCATGCACAGTGAAGAAGCGGGTTTAAGGTTCAAATAAAGTTTTACCAAATTTTCCTGAACACAGAGAAACAAACTTTCTGGATCGCTGAACCAAAATGGCGGAGCTTCCTGCTAACAGGTCATGCGTCACTGTGAAAGGACATCACCCAAAAACCTCAGTGGGACGATCCCACACTCTGGTTCGGTGATCCGGGCGACATCTGTGACTCTGTGTAAAGGAACCACCTCCTGTCCCAGAGGCTCCTCCCACCGGCCAAACTGTAATCAGTAATCGGGGACACAGGTGATCCTGGAGATCGATCCCAATTTAGGCTCACGGACTCAGATCAAGAAGAACGGCGTCGCCAGTTACGACCAGTTCCAAAACCAGTCATACTTTTGATAATTCAGTGCGATCAACAGAACAAACTGTACAACACCACAGACATCCACCCGAAGGAAACCAGTCCCAAACAGTTCTTTCAAAATAAAAGACCCTCTGGTGGGAGGAGGCAGACAGCTACAAGCAGAGGAAGGCAAGTGTGTGTTTGTACAGTGTGTGTGTGTGTGTGTTTGTACAGTGTGTGTGTTTGCTTTGTGTGGTGGGAGTTAGTGTGACAGATGGTGTGTGTGTTTGTAAAAATGTGTATGTGCTGCTTAATGTTTGTAAATGCTTCTATTGATATTTTTGTGGGGTCCTGTGATTTAGGCAAATTTTGTGGGGACATTTCTACAGTGGGGACATTTCTGCATTATAAGGACATTTCTACAGTGTGGGGACATTTCTGCATTATAAGGACATTTCTACAGTGTGGGGACATTTCTACAGTGGGGACATTTCTACAGTGTGGGGACATTTCTGCATTATGGGGACATTTCTACAGTGTGGGGACATTTCTGCATTATGGGGACATTTCTGCATTATGGGGACATTTCTGCATTATGGGGACATTTCTGTATTATAAGGACATTTCTGTATTATAAGGACATTTCTGTATTATAAAGACATTTCTGCATTA